GATCGCAGACAGGCAGGTACTATTCAGTATTTTCTAAGCCAGCCATATATTAACTGTAAACATCCTACTTCTGGTGGTAGGTGTTACTTGTTTTTCTTTTCTTTTTCTTTCTTTGTTGTTTCTTTCTTTCTTTCTTTTCTCAAAAAGAACTATAATCAACAGGTCAGGCCATCAGATCAACCTCATAGCTGCCCATAGCAGACTCGCAGTCACGTGACCAAACCCATGACCAACAGGATTGCTTCATCTCATTATTATTATTTCTGCCCCAATTTCTGCATTGGTTATTTTTTTCATCGCATTGCATAATAATTAATTCAGCAGCCTAAAAATAATTTTCTATAAGCAGGACACAAAAATTTCAAAAGAAATGAACCCAATGCTGAGGGAACAGGGACTCTCCCTAACTAAAAACTTTTGTTTCATCTTGTGTTGTTAAAAAAAAAAAATTGAAGTGGGATTAACTTTGACCACTTGGTATTCCTTAGGGATGCCTGAGGCTTTGTAAATGGACATATTTTGGAATTTTACTAGAAGAAACATCAAATCCACGTCAGGATTTGGATTTGCTAGGCTTCTTTAAAATGTAAATTTCTTTTACCTGCTATATGAACACTTAAAAATCACACATATCAGTGGGCAAATGTGATGTTGATACATGCACACCTTGTATGCACACTGTAATGTTGACATGGATTCTAAACACCGCCAGTTTCAAAGGTAACGCTTGACTTCTTAGGACTCTGTTGTTGTAACTAAAAATCCTGCTCCATTGCTTCTCTCCCCGTCAGTGACTGACCCCTCAGAGAACATGTCAGGATTACTCTGGTCTGGACCTTACTCCTGCTCCCCACGGCGCTGTAACACCTCTCCCCCTACGTCAGGAAAGCCGTCTATTTCTAGCTGTCAGCTGTGTTACAGACAGGCTCTGCCCCCCGCGCCCATGCTGGTGCTGCCCGGTTCTCTGGAGCCCCAGATGCCGCCGCCCCTCTCCCCGGACACGGTTTGGAGGCTGTGGCCTTGACGGCCTCCTGTCCGGGACCTCACCGACCAGGCACCGCGCCTGCAGGCCACTCCGGCCTTGGCTCCCACCGACCTCACTCTTGTCACGTTTTTCAGTGATGTGCGTCCGTCCTCACTGAGTGTTTATCTTTTTAACTTTTGTTTATTTATTTACGTTTTGTGGTCCTGGGGGCACAGGCCAGGGCCTCACACGTGCTAGGCAAGCATCCTGCCCTGAGCTCATCCCTGGGCCTCGATTCTGTCGTCTGTCCTGCTTTTCTGTTTTATTTTCTTAAGCATATAACAAGTTTTAAATATTCATGAAAGCTGCTCATTTATTTTAATGTTTAAATTTAAAACCCTCTGCTTCTCCACTAAAATGAAAGCTTTCTGAGAGCAGAGGACAAGGGTCTTTATGGTGTCTGTCGCTGTAGTCCAAACATTAAGAAAATTGGCCTTAGTCCATAATGTTGCATGGAAAATGAGCCCCCGTATATGACGGATGAACACCTGGTGATCTGAGTATCTACTAAGAGAAGTGACGTCCATACACCTTCACTGTTCATCATAAAAGAACACAAAATCCTCGAATTCAAACACCCTTGACATTAAGGGAGGCCCAGCTCTACACGTCATGCCCGAGAAACGCGCTGCAAGCTAATTCTCAAACGGAACGGTAAAGATGCGGCTCTTGGAGATGCCTGAAGACATTATGATAAAATATTAAATATTAAAAAAAAGAAGACATAAAAGATGTGATACAAGCACCGCATGAGTCCGGCGTCTTTCGGGGCAGGCGGCGTCTCTCCCCGTGCGGGGCTGGGCCCGCTCCTGCCATGGTCTGTCGGCCTGCTGTGGCCAGCGAGGGTCCTCCGGCCTCGGCCATGGTGAGGACCACGCAGAGCCCACGTGTGAAGACTGAGGTGCACGTGACACTGGCACCTTCCCTCTAGTACTGATCAAGAGCAGATTTCATGCCATTTAGCAAAAAAGTTCTCGAATGGTAATAAGTTCTTTTGTTCTCTCTTGTACTAGGTTAAGTGGATTAAAGGTTAAAAAGTCGCTTGGAGCTCACCGAAGCTTCCTGCTTAAATTTTCAGCGAAAGGAACTTTTTTTTCCTGATAACTGTTTCAGTACTATAAGAAACCAGTAAAAGTACTCACTCTATAATTTTGTGCTTGGACTGCACAGAGAAATCACAGTAATCCACTCCAATGTCTGTGAAGTCCACAAAGGTGGAGGACAAAATCTGGAAAGCCCGGGGATTCTTTTCCTTGAGCTTCTGGCACACGTTGAATCCATCCACAATTTCCGAGTCGCCCCCGGTGACTGTTTGCTTAATACAGTGCAGAAGCTGCACCTGGAAGGAGAAAAATGGAGAAACAGATTTTAACCAAAGAGCATGTCCTCCCCTGATGCCACATTCAGGATTCCCCAAGGTTCGAATGGACCAGAGTCGACCTTTCTTTTTAAAATCGGTTCTCTTGCTTCAGCAGAAGAGTTGAGAATGAAAACTGTTGCTCAAGACAGTGCTGTGAACTTCAAACTGTAGCAGGCGAAGACTTGGACAGAGGCAGGCTGATGTGAGTAAAAGGCAGCTCGGAAGAACTTCAGGAGCCAGCCAGGCCTGCCTGGTGGGCGGGGGCTGGCGAAGGGTGAAGGGCGAGACTGGAGAGATGCACTTGCGTGAGAGCATAGGTAACCGGAAATGCTCAGCTCACAGGTGACACAAGTGGGGCTGTGGCCAAGGGTCAGGCCCGGGAGGAGGGTGACTTCGGCTTCAGTATGGAGTCTTACATGTCTGATGAAGGATTTGATACTTTTCCTTGTGCATGGAGGGGACACAGTCAGGAGTGAAAGGGAAAGTGCTGGCCTGGTGGTATTTCATAGGAGGAATCACTCTCAGGAACAACCGGCTTTTCAAAGAGTAGCTTTTGGAGATTCTTATATGTAAGGATAAGAAGGGAACTGGGTAAGTGGGGACGGGCAGGCTGGATAAACCACGAAACACTGGGAATAAGATACCAATAGGACAGTAAGTCCTAATTAATTTTACTAAATATTTTTTGGGGGAAGACTTTTAACTTTATTTTACTTTGAAAAGCAAACCATAGTAAAATTTAAAAAAACAAATTCTTCTGAATGGATTTGTCATGGATTTTCTGCCTTCTTTTACTAAGTCGGAATGGATGTGTGATTTTGAGCTTCTAAATTTAGACTCAATTTTCTGCTTAAAGAAATTTTCGGTTACGAAAACATCATTGGTCCCGAGTAAAATAAATTGAAAGCCAGTATCTGACTTTATTCTAGAACTCAAGGGGTAGATATGATCAAATGCTCCCTGGGAGAAGTCCTCAGCCTCAATTGAATTTTAAATGTCATTTCACCTTAAAATTAAAATGTACTCATGTGGCTTGTGGCTGCTGTATTAGCGCTGGTCTAGAACACAAATCTTGCCTGTCCTCCAAAACAATATATGTTTCTCCAGTTCTTTTGATTTTATATATGGCTTGTTCTCCAATTGTATCATGTATAGTACACTTCACAGCAGTCCTCAGGGTTGGATACCTTTATTTTCATTTTTGCAGGTGAAAGCGCTGAGATATAGGCATATACACAGACCCCTTTGGCATTAGTTGAGGTTGATAGATCTGAGCTTGACTTTTCTGTATTAAAAGTGAAATTACAAAAAAGACGATATACTTGCTTTTGCCATACATAAAAAAATCAGCTGGTCTTTTAAAAAACCAACATTTGAAATACTCTGAGAGCTCATTATGGCAAAATGTAAAGGAATTTCGAGAACACTGAGTCTTCCTGTGTGATCCAAACTGACCACACTGAACTCTCAGCAGGTGACATCACCCCAGTCATTTTCTCTCCACTGAGAGTCACAGTGCCTTGTGCTCTTTGTTATAGAAAACCCCAGACTTTGGCACCAGGAAACCCCTGAATAGCTCAAGATGGAAGCTTGAACAGGCTTTACAGGCAGGTGCCTATCTGCTGTTCTTCTGTTAGTATCCAAATATTCAGGAACCTTGTTTAAACTTCTATCACCTTTAGCTAGGCGTTGTAGCACACACCGTAATCTCAGCATTCTTGGAGGCTGAGGCAGTGGGATCAAAAGTTTGAGTCTCGGCCTGGGCAATTTAACAACTCAGCAAGACCCTATTTTAAAGTAAAACATTACAAAAGGGCTGAGGATGTGTCTCCATGTGAAGGTGCTGAGTTCTACCCTCAGGACCACTAATGTCACCACCACCAAAACCCAACCCAAACTGAAGGAAAATCTCATTGTCATTTCGCTTCAGGTGTTTCCTCTGGAGACAAGTGTGCCTTTGCTGCATTTCTTTCTGCTTACAGTATATTTGTTATGTCTCCATTATGTGCAAGATTAAATCTGGGGACACAAGGAAGTATAAAAGAGTTTGTAAAGTAGGACATCGTCCATAAATATGTGCGCTACAGGAACTTGAAATTCCAGCTCAGGACCATTATTATGTGATGAAAAACTAGATGCGGCTTGGGTTCAAGTTCAAGCTCCCCATTAATCAGTTGTCACCCAATAAAACTTTTCAACCTTTTGCTTCATTTCCTCATCTTATATGAAACAACAATAAATCCTGCCTACCTTACGGGGATGTCAGGAGGTATCAGATAAATTAATACAAGTAAAAAATGCTTCGAGAAAGCATGAAATGCTATGAAAATGTCAAGCATTATATTGTGCCATACTTGGGAATATTTATGAAGTTATTTAATTACTTTTTCTTAGGCTTCCCACACTGATCCAGAAACAAAACTTAAACTCGTAAGATACTTTTAAAAGTTTCAAATAGAACCTTTAGTTTTCTGGTCTCATTCTCCAAGTTTTATTCCATCCAACTTCTCTGTGTAATCTTTGGCAGATGGGCTGAGCTGATCAGCTTGGCTTTTAAGAACAGTTTCAGAAAAACCTCAGACCTGCGTTTAGAGTAAGTCACACTGTACATCTCCTTCCCCAACTCCCACCCAAAGAGGTGACTAAGGGGCCATTTTTCTGTCATCATTTAGTTCAAAGAAATCATGTGGTATTTTACAACCAACAAAATAATTTAAAACATGTGAAGTCAACAGACTAGCGTAGCTAATGTTGTTGAGAGGAACGGGCAACAGGGAGGCTGCTGAGAAAATAGGCTGATGAAAAAAAGGCACTGATTGTGATTTTGGCCCATGTCGTCTTCATTAATTCAGGAATCTACCAAAGTCTCATTGACTTTTGAAGAGATATATGTCTGCGTGGTTATTCCGTGTGGTCCAGCTGTGCTTTAAGTATAAGGACAGAATATTCTTTAAAAAGATAGTATTCTGATTATTTTTGTGGTGATTTCATAAGAGCGCTTTTGGTTTAGTAAAATGAGTATTCTGTAACGATATAGGGGGAAAGTCCACTTAGAAACTGGGGCAATCTTTTAGCCTGGTGAGGAGCATTTCGGTCTGTGATAAGGAGTTTGATGCACAGGACGCAGTTCTGGTTTCCAAAGTGGAATGGTCATTCCGATTCTACGCCCATGTCCCTCTGCAGTTCACTCTTACAGCTTTTCCCACGCAGTGGCTACTTCCCTGTCTCTTGAACGTGGGCTACATGCAGGACTCGCGTAGATCAGTCCAATACGCAGAAGATACGTGGTGCTGATGTTCGGCCCAGGACCTGGGAAACTCCCATGCTTCACTTTGCTCTTGGAAGAAGCCTGCCTACCATCGCATCAGGAGGGAACCGACCCCGGTGATCGGAGAAGCCCGTCCAGCTGACGCCAGCAGCCCCCGGCCAACTCGGAGTCGATGGCAGTCACGTGACCTGCAAGCCAGCTCAGAGCAGCCACACAGAGCCCGGATGGGGAGGGAGACAGGCTAAATGCATGCTCTCCCTGCAGCAACAGGTCAGGAAGCACGTTTTTCTCGTGTGACATCGTTGGGAAACTCCACCTTGGTCTCCCTGATTCAGCTTTCTTTGTGAATTCTCTGGAGAGTGATACATGCGCAGAAAGACCTCAGGATGCTCTGCTGTCTTAAATCTGTCTTGGCTGAACAAAGAGTCTCTGCCAATCATTATTTCCAGTGAGAACAAAGAGATGCCCTAAAAACGATGCATGAAAATGTCTCATTCCTTAGGGACACTGGGAATATCCAGAATCCAGGCGCAGAGGCTCTGTGAGTCTGGGTTGTGTTTGGAGAAGAACTTCCCTGGGATGAACGAGCTGCGGAAACACCCAGTCTCCTCAGCTGAGAAAGCAGGCGCGTGGGTCCGGCCTGCCCCGTGGAGAGCGGGCAGGAGCTGCTCTTACCCCAGGCGGGTGGTGAAGAGCCGGGTAATCGGTGTGAAAGCCCAGCTTCCCAGTCGTGTAGGCCACGTTGTTGGCATCGATTTTGTCTTGCACTTGCCAAGTATGTCTGTAAAACACGAGGAACACGTGTGTGAACGGCTCGTCCCTGAGCCAGAGGAAATGTGCTCGCAGGAATTTGATACATGAGGGGAAATGTAGAGTTCATTTTATGAAATAATTAACATAATGACTGTGAGCCGGAGAGTTTGATGTTTCTTTGCCTATACTTGTTTCAGAATTAAGATTGCCTCTTTTCTGTCCTCTGTAAAAGAGTACATTAGTTTTAACCTTTCTATCATTCCAACTAAAACCTCTTACCCAGATTATTAATCACCTTTGTGTTGCTGGAACAAAATATCTGACACCTACAAACTGAAGGAGGAGAAGTTTACTTTGGAAGAGAGCTTCAGCAGGTACAGTTCATGGTCGACTGGCTCCAAAGCAGAACAGCAGGAAAAGCGTTTGGGGCGGGGCAGCTGATCACCCCGTGGCAGTGGCTGGCAGAGAGGAGAGGAGCAGGGGTGACAACACCACCCTTCAAGGTCTGCCACCCCCAGGAACCCGACTCTGACCAGGCTCCACTGCTGACCCATGAGACTTTTGTGGGACATTTTTTCCTCATCTATCATCAAAGCCCAGCTCCTGTTTCAACCCTTCACAATCTAGATTCTAGAGTCACAGCTTTTGGGTTTAAAACTGACTGGCTCCCAGTCCTGAATCTGTAATGCACCAGCTGTACGATCTTGGACAATTTATCATTTCTGAGCCTCAGTTTATATATTTGTGAAATGGAATAATAGTGTCTGCTTTAAGCACAAGGTCCACATCCGACCCGTAGAAAACGCTTTCTAGGGCTTGTGGTCCTTCTTAGTTTCCTGGTGACCTAATATTTATTCCTCCACTCAGGACTTCAAAGCATTTTATGTTTTTGGTTTCATTCATTGGAGCCAAAATTGTTGAGTGTTTTGTGATGATAGTTATAATTTATAAAGGGCTCTCACCAGTCTGATCTCATCTCCATATTGCATATGAACACATAATTCTGCTTCCTTTCCTGGATTGTAAACCCTTTGAGTATAGAACAGAGAGTTTTACTCTTCTCTCGTGACATAATCCAGCATCAGTCCTAAAGCAGGGCACCAATAAATGCTGAGTGAAGGAACAAAGAAGCGCAGAGGGTAACTTTTCTCCGCCTCCATTTTCATATGGTAAAGGGTAGCCACAGGAAGGTGGGAAGATACAAAACATTTGACACCTTTCTCCATTTTTCCTCCAGGAATACTACCCAAATCTCTTCCCACATCCAGGGATCCCTCTCTCTCTTTCATTTTTTTTATTATGGTGCTAGGGATTGAACCCTGGATCTCTTTGTATGCTAGCCAAGTTCTCTATCAAAGAGAATATTTTCCTAATGAGCAAAGGTAGGACTTCTTAACTGTTACCTAGGATGGAGGAAGAAACACCTAATTTGCTTACATTTTTCACTTACAATTACAGTTGAAAACTGGTATGTCTGGTAGAGATCAGATACCATCATCCATACATGGCCATGCAATGGAAGGAGATGGAGTGACGGGGCAGAAGTATACATAGCCTGTTGCAACTCGTTTCAAATAAGAGCCAGGTAATCCGTTATATTGCAGGGATTATAGCAACAAACACATGTTCCCCATGAAGTTTGTGTAATTCCAAAGCCCATATAAAATACATATTCAGACTGCTGTCAATATTGGCATTTCACAACATTTGAGCTTCAGGATAAGGATTAAATGGGGACCGAACATTAGGTAGGATTTAACTCGGCCAAGAGAAGCATCATGACAGGTAGGAGAAATGGCAGATGGGAAGGCTGAGGTGAGAGAGAGAGGCAGATTTGAGAATAATTTGAGAAAGTAACAGAAGGACTGGCAAAGAAGATTTAATATATACATAATAGGAGTAGTGAGCGGAACTGAAAGCCAAGAAATAGAACAAATACAGAAAACTATAATTCAAGAACATTTTCCTGAAATTAAAACAAAATTGAAACTGCACTTTGAAAGACCAAACCATATTCTCCTTGACAAAATTTCCCTAGAATCACCACTACCAAGATGAAATCTGTAAAATTACCAGACGAAAGAATAAAACTTTCTGAGAAGCAGTTAAAAGCATCTAACTGCTCAGAGGGTGCAGCAAATGCGAATCTTAGTAAAACCACTGATGTAATAGAGATGCCAGCAGCTGGGGATTCTACATTTAACCAAGCCAATTTTTAAGTCTAAAGAAGGACATTACACTGCTGTTACCTTGCAAGAATCCAGAGAATAATGCTCCCAGGAGCCCTTCCCGACACATTTATGAGAGCATAGACTTCATACAACCAAAATAAACAGCTCCATTGAAGTAGAGTTTGTGCCCAGAAGTACATTTCTACTAGTTGCAGGGGAGGGAAAGAAGGGGTAGAAAACTGGGAAGTAGGAGAGCTAAGCCATCCATGGGAGAGGAAGCTGTAACCTGTGACACCAAGCAAGCAAATGCCCGCCACGCTGGGAAGAGAGACAGGCTTGTCTTCTGGGTGGGATGTGGAGGTGGGTTTTGGGGTTGCTGACAGTGTCCCCATTTCCTGACAAGGCTGGTGTTTAAGAGGGTCTGCCATGCAGGGATTCATCAGAGTCTGTGTTAAGGTACAGCCCTTCAGATTTGACATGTGCACCGAAGACCTTGGCGATTATAGCTAACAGTGATGTTATCGAATGCTTGGAGTTTGCCAAGAGAGTAATGTCATGTTCACATGCACACCCACACTCCACACACAGGTCACTCTGTGAGGGGATGGGGAAGCTCATTCGCTTTTGTGGGTAATTGTTTTGTAGCAAACATCACACTGCACACCCTAAATACAAGTACTTTCCTTCAATCCTCCCTCAGTAAACCTGGAAAAACATAAAGGGAATACAACTGCATCACAGATGTGTGCTAAATATTTAGTGCAGACAAGTAGTAAAAAAAAGATGCCAACTACCTGTAAAAACTTCCAAAAAAGAGTTACAATAATTTCCTCCAAAGGAAATCCCGAAGGCCTTTATTATGAAGATTGCAATGCATTGCAAAACAAAAAAAAAAGTAATTCAGGAGAAATCCATATTGAGCACATTTAGTAGTTATGTAGTGTTGGCGCATTCAAATTATGTTTCGTTTATTTCATCAAATGAGAATAGGTCTAGTATAGCTTTTTCATGGAGAGGATGGATAGAAACGTCTTTCTCTCTTGTGATGATGTGTCTGTGTTTGCTTTCATTTTTGTACTTTGCGTTAACAGTCAGCCAAAACTTAAAAGAGGGAGGGAAGGAATATCCTGGCCTTGTCATTGTGACTCTGAAAAATTTCCACCTAACCCTGTGTGGTTCTTTCTTTGCTCTTGAGCTATAAACACAAGAGCCATTATAAACTGAGGGAGGTGTGAAGGAGAGCAAACTCAGTGTGTGATGTAAAGCATAGATTTTAAGCCACGGAGTAAGATCATCCTGGGTTTTCAGCTGGGTTCTTCTGCCTGCGATTTACCTGTGAAGTGGGGACAATCACCTTATCAGAGTGATGAAGATCGCGGGTGACAACAACGGGAAAGAACTGGGCTCAACGCTTAGCACAGAAAAGTGGAGAAATCTTAACTTCTCCAAACTCGGCGACAGTGGCTTGTCCTGGCTGCACAGAAAATAATCAAGGGGCCAGTGGACATCCAAAGGTTTGGAGGGAAGCGACTGCTTTAATAAATAGGTTATCTCAAATTTCCTGCAGTGATTTATTTCTAGAGGAGCAGGAGACGTAGACATTGTTTTTCCTTTCATTTGGGAGATGACCTCATACTCAGGCAGTGTTGCTGGGAGCAGGCATTAAAGTCTCGCCAAGAGAGTAGTCAGTGCCCCCAGGGATTCCTGATAACGCAAATGGGGCTCCCGGAGGCTGCAGGGCTGCAGCTCGTGACTCTGTCTGAGGGGCCCTGATACCCGCTAGAGCACACAGTTTCAAGGTTCCCTGAACACCACGGCCAGCCCTCCATTTACATCAGGTCATTAGGAAGTCCCGGGTAGTTCTGATGAAGCAGGGCTCGGGTTCCAGCTGAGTTCAGAACTCAGACATTTTTTCCTTTGCTTTCTTCCGAAGTCTGAGTTGTTTCTAGGTTGGCGTTTCATAACCTGCAAGCCATGTTTGCTTGAGAAGGGTTGTGTGGTTTTCCCAAGAAATTTTTTGGTTAGAAATTTCAAAAAAAAAAAAAAAAAAAA